TCACACAGGTTTTTTTTTTCTCCTCTTGTTGCGGTTGGCCTCTTGGCAACCATTGTTCTGCTTTTAAAACTCATCAAATATATAACTCATATACATTAGGTTTCATATTAGGTACATCATATTACGTTTTAAACACATGAACAACACATATATACAACCGAAAAATTGAATGAACACATAAAAATCCAAACAAACCAAAACAAGTTTAAAACAGGGAACTAAAATCAACTTACATGAGTTTACAATCAAAGAAAACATACCATACGTCTCTACATCATGAAGGTGCTGGCTAGTAATGGTGGTGGCAGCAGCAACTGTGTGGTTTCCAGCAAAAGGAGTACACGGCTGTAAGAGAATAGAAGGCTGAGAAAGAGAGAATGGGAGAAAAGAAACGTGAGGGACAAGGGTTATAAAAATTGATCTCAAGGGTTCCGTTTGGGTGGGAGCTTTTGGGTTCCCAAATAGGCATTGGTTGAGTTTTTAGGAAGTTTTAAATTTTTTTTTTTTTGAAACAAAATATATGATTATTGTAATGGAGGTGGATTGACTTCAGCCCACAATATGGACCGAACCGTGTTGTTTGGGCCTTCTTTCAATACAAAACCCTTTATTTTGTCATGCATTTTGTGTATTTTATTCAGAAAAAAAAATTAGATTGATCTGATAATGAATCCAAAAATTAATGAAAAAAAATTCAGCTTGTTTGGTTCTGGTTTTCGGAAAACATTTTTCATAAAATTCTACTTTTTAATTTTTCGTATTTTAATGTTTGCAATGACATTTTTTAATATTTTAAGAATTTTTTAAAAAAAAAATTCTAGACACACCTAACATAAATACACTTAAAAAGTATAATATTTGTGAAAAAAAATCTTTACAAAATACACTAAATACCAAAAAAAAAATAAAAATGAAAAGTTAGTACATTTCTCGTATTTTTGCATACTTATTAATTTTTAAAATATTTTTTCACAAATGTTTTACTAGTTAGATACATCTAAGTAAGGTGCATCTAAAAAAATAAAAAAAATTACTTAAAATTTCAAAAATATTCACTAAAAACAAAAAAACACAAAAAGCAGAGAACTCAATTTTCGAAAAGGTGAATTCAAAAAATTGAAACCGAACACACTAATTAGATTCTTTTCACTTTGGTCCAAATTGTAACAAATGTTATAGTTCTGTGACGGAAAATGCCCCATGGGTCAAGTTCACCTAAATTTGTACCAAATCCTCTGCTGTAGACCACCTCAACATGCAACCCTCCATTATAGAACCCTTCCATTTACTGCCTACCATGAACCATCTATTTTGAAGTGTGAAAACAAAGGTCTCCAAGTGATCAAGGTAGGAAAGTTAATTTTAAAAATTCCAAAGTTTCCCTCAGAAGTTAGCAATTGGACCAAAGTAAGAAAAGACAAATAATGTAGTCATTAGGGTGGGTACAGTGAGAAACAATATATATCTACGAATAAAAATACAATTTATTATTTTTAAAACGGAGTAATGGTAAAAAGCTTGTGACCGTCTATGAGATAATAGGCAAGGGCTAATACCAGTACGTGCTAGAGTCATAAATGTGTCAAACTGATTCGTAGGTGATGTCATCATTCGACATGAAGATAACATGACACTAGTAGCGGTAACAATGCTATTATAGTGGTCTAAGTCGATGATGAAAGTTGTGTTTCAGTGGACCAAAGGACGTGATTAATCAAAGCTTTTATGATTTTTGGGTAGGAAGTCTAAATTCTCCGTAATTTGGCTCAATGTTGTGCCAATTACTGAAATCAACCCAAATCTTCATAATTTTTTTCATTAGGGTGGGTACAGTGAGAAACAATATATATCTACGAAAAAAAATACAATATATTATTTTTGAAACGGAGTAACGGTAGATTGGAAATCAAAGGCTTACAGATAATAGGCAAGGGCTAATACCAGTACGTGCTAGAGTCATAAATGTGTCAAACTGATTCATAGGTGACGTCATCATTTCGACATGAAGATAACGTGACACTAGTAGCGGTAACAATGCTATTATAGTGGTCTAAGTCGATGATGAAAGTTGTGTTTCAGTTGACCAAAGGACGTGATTAATCAAAGCTTTTATGATTTTTGGGTGGGAAGTCTAAATTCTCCGTAATTTGGCTCAATGTTGTGCCAATTACTGAGATCAACCCAAATCTTCATAATTTTTTTGTGACAAATACAGAAATAGTACCTGGAAATGACAGGAGATGCCTCTTTTGGTTGGATATTTGGATTGGAAATCACAGGCTTACAGATGTGTTCTCTAGATTGTTCTTCGTGTCTTAAGATAAAATGCAGTCTCTTACAAGTTTACTAGCCTGAACCCAAAACAATAGGAATTAACAAGGCTTATTACTATTTTGAATGATGCAACACATCTTAGAGAAGGTGTTGAAGATAAATTAAGATGAAGAGCAGAACCCTCAGGGGAATTCAATGTTGACTCAATTTGTAAATGATGCGAATATTCTCAACGCCCAATAATGCTACCTCCTAAGCTGCTCTGGAACAACATTAGTCATCCAGAAGTTCAATTTCTAAGCTGGTTTGCTTGGAAATGGAGAGTAAAAACTAATGTATTACTTCAAAAAATTGGGGTTGTAAATACTAATGCTAATACTACTTGTGTCTTATGTAATGGTTAGGCTGATGATGTGAATCACTTATTCTTGAGTTGTAAACCTGTACGATGTTTGTGGTCTGCAATGTTAAAGTGGTGGTGAGTTCAATGGGCAATGCCAAACTTAGCGGAGGGAGTTCTACAATGGCAGGCAGGGTATAGATGGAAGAAATTTAATAAGAAAATTTAGAGAGCCATTATACTCACAATACTTTGGTCCATATGGAAGCAAAGGAATGACTATATGTGTAATACATCTCATTTTTATATGGAGGAGTTATGTCAACTTGTCAAAACAAGGATTGTTTTTCGGGGTAAAAAGCAACTCACAAGAGATGTACTGTTCCATAATCGACTTCATTTCAAATTTAAATCAGGTAAGATTGTGTTTAGGAGGAAGGGGTGCTGTCTGATTTTCTGCTTGATGCTACTGTTGTTGAAGCTTTTATACGAGGTCATTTTGGATACAATGATCTCATTTGCAAATGGCGTGTAGATTTAGTTATTGTTTGATGTCAATCCATTGTATTGAATCCTGTTTGATGTCAACCTAGACCACACCAATTGCGAATGGCCAACCAATTGAGAATGGAAAAAATTTAAAGCAGCCCCTGATCCACCGTGTGACTCTCATGGATAGCTTCTCCATGACAAATAAGACTTGTCACAACTGACGGAACGTAATTCGGACCCGTAGGTAGAGAGTTAAAGCCGAATACGCCTTAAACTTACTCGAAAAAGAGGCTTTCGGGGAAGAAAATTCAAAACAGCCTCCGAACAACCATGTGACTCTCACGGATAGCTTCCCCATGAAATAGGACTTGTGACAACTGACGGAATGTAATTCGGACCCGTAGATAGAGAGTTAGAGTCGAATACGTCCTAAACTTAGTCGAAAAAGGGCGTTTCGGGGGGAAAAATTCAAAACAGCCACCGAACCACCGTTTGGCTCACACGGACAGTTTCCCAATGACAAATTGGACTTGTGACAACTGGCAGAATGTAATCTGGACCCGTAGGTTAGGTGTTAGAGCAGAATACGTCATAAACTTAGTCGAAAAAGGGTGTTTCGGGGGGCGAAAATTCAAAACAGCACCCTAACCATCATGTGGCTCACACAAACAGTTTCCTAATGACAAATAGGACTTGTGACAACTGATGGAATGTAATCCTGAGCTGTAGGTTGGGAGTTAGAGTGGAATATGCATTAAACTTACTCGAAAAATGGCGTTTCGGGGGCAAAAATTCAAAACAGCCCCCGCATGACCGTGTGACTCTCAAGGATAGCTTCCCATGACAAATAGGACTTGTGACAACTGACGGAATGTAATTCGGACCCGTAGGTTGGGTGTTAGAGCTGAATACACCCTAAACATAGTAGAAAAAGGGCGTTTCGGGGGCGAAAATTGAAAACAGCCCCCGAACCACCATGTGGCTCACACGGATAGTTTCCCCATGACAAATAAGACTTGCAACAACTGACGGAATGTAATCCAGACCCGTAGGTTGGGAGTTAGAGTCAAATACACCCTAAACTTAGTCGAAAAGGGCGGTTTGGGGGCAAAAATTCAAAACAGCCCCCAAACCACAGGGTGAATCTCACGAACAGCTTCCTTATGACAAATAAGACATGTGACAATTGACGGAACATAATTCAGACCCGTAGATAGAGAGTTAGAGCCGAATACGCCTTAAACTTACTTGAAAAAGAGCTTTCCGAGGGCAAAAATTCATAACAGCCCCCGAACAACTGTGTGACTCTCATGGACACCTTTCCCATAAAAAAGAGGGCTTGTGACAACTGACGGAATGTAATCCGGACCCGTAGGTTGGGAGTTAGAGCCGAATACGCCCTAAACTTAGTCGAAAAATGACATTTCAGGGGTGAAAATTCAAAACAGCCCCCGAACCACAGGGTGAATCTCACGAATAGCTTCCTTATGACAAATAAGACATGTGACAACTGACGGAACATAATTCGGACCCGTAGGTAGAGAGTTAGAGCTGAATACGCCTTAAACTTACTCGAAAAAGAGCTTTCTGAGGGCGAAAATTCATAACAGCCCCCGAACAACCGTGTGACTCTCATGGACAGCTTCCCATGAAAAAGAGGGTTTGTGACAACTGACGGAATGTAATATTTGGTTTGATACTTTTAAATCCTCTGCTTTCTCAGCCTCGAGACAAAGAAGTATGTCATTCAGACTCTAATGTTATGCCTTTTTAGTTTTCTCGTTTCATTTAGAGTAGGAAATTTAAAGAAAAATAAAAAAATAAATAAAATCAAGATTATGGTTTGTAGTATTGAAACAAAAAGTCCACCGGCCAAATTTTAAACCAAAGTTCCTAAGTAATCTTTCCAGATTAGAACACTTAGGCTTCTCATTTTTCTTTATTTGCCTGCTATTACAGAAGTAATAGCTACAGGAGTTGGAAAAGTGGAGGCTCCAGCACAATGTCATTTGACAGGAACAATGATTTGATGCAGTTAACTTCATGTGACAAGCTCTCGACCTCGAACAGCATTGTGCCTTCGCCTCAACATTCAACTAGCAGAATGATTTCTTCACTGCAACATCCAATGTGCAATATTGATCTTTGGTTTCGCTCCAAAGGGAGTTCATCCAATCAAGATGCCGCTATAGACGTCAGTGATTTTTCAGGACCGCCTAGTTTTCAATCAACTGAAATGTCCTGTGAAAATTTGGACTATTCCCTCAAATCAGATGTTTCCAGGACTTCTAGCTCTTCCCAAACTTCGGTAAGTTCAATACAACAGAAATTCTGTGTACAAGATATAATTATTAATCAATGGGATCATAATTATGGATCATCTATCATGATTATCTGATTATATCTTAATCAACAAATGGAGCACCCTAATTGAATGATCGTGATAAGTAGCCTCATATTATATTTAATTTGTTATGGGTGTGACTTAAATTTGACCCAAGGATGTCTTGTAGTTGGTACGCACATTCAAATGCTACTCCTGCCACAGTTTCCAAAACCAAATATAAGACATTCTTCATAATTCTAATGTGTATTTCTTTAAATTAGTTTCAAGGAAAGAAAAATAGGTAGCACAATGGACTGATAAACTCATTGCATATGTATTTAAAACAAAATAGACTGAGGTATGTCCAAGCATACAACAGTTCTGCAGTATTTTCTAGCTTTTAGTGCCTATAAAAGAACTTTGCTGTTACAGGGTGTCATTTCAGTGGCACCGAGCAAGCATCCATCCAATTCACGAGCAAGAAACATTAACTTAAAGCACCGAGGAAGGTATTTTGTTCTCTTCATTTGATTGAAGGGATAAAACCCACAATTTTTTGACCCCAGTGGTCAATATGTTTCGAAGTTTGTAAAATACTAACACATGTTAATTATGAAATTGCCTATGCTCTATGCTTTATTAGCTTTGTTTTCTTTTGCTGGTTGTCAATGAGAAGGCTGAAATTAAACACATTGTTGTGCACAAAAAAGATAAGGTCATGACCTGTAGTCTTGCAAAGTTTTATTATAGCAGATTGACTTGCATGCCTCCATTTGAATGACTATATTGCAGAATGAACTAGAGGCTGAAATGAGGAGATTAAGAGATCAATTTAAGCAAATGATGGAGATGTACAATTCAGTTTGCAAAGAAGCAATCTCTTCCAAAGAGAAGGTAAAAATCTTGACGTGAACTAGATTGACGTTTCCTATCTTCTACATGGAAGTAATCTCACAATAAGTCTTTCCAAATGTGACTACAAATCACTTGTGTTTCCCAGGCAAAGGAGATTGATGAATGGAAGCCAGAGGAGGAATGCAAGGTTATGGAAGCAAAGCAAGCCCAAGAGGCTGCGATGGCTTTGGCCGAGATGGAAAAACATAAAACCAAGGTTGCAATTGAAGCAGCACTGATGGCACATTTAATATCAAAATATGAGATCCAGATGCGAAAGAATGCAGAGATGAAGGCCATACAAGAGGTAGGAGAGAGGAAGAAGGCTATGGACGCGTTGACTTGCTCTGAAATTCGGTATAGAAAGTACCCCATTAAAGAGATTGAAGTTGCAACAGACTACTTCTCCAATTCATTGAAGATTGGTGAAGGAGGATATGGACCTGTTTATAAAGCCTTTCTTGACCACACACCCATTGCCATTAAGGTTCTAAGGTCGGAATTGTCACAAGGGAATAAACAATTTCAACGAGAGGTATTATGTATTCCTTGTTTCTGTTGCCAATTTGTAGATGTATACTCGGATCATGTAGAAAACTATCCTGAACAAACACCATATATGAAGGTTGCAGCTTTAAATAAGCTAATTATGTCTGTCTGTGTCCAAACACCAACTTAAGCATCTAACTTTCTATTATTGTTCTCACCATGCAGGTTGAGGTACTAAGCTACATAAGACATCCAAACATGGTTCTTCTTCTGGGTGCCTGCCCTGAGTATCGATGCCTTGTTTATGAATACATGGAAAATGGCAGCTTAGAAGATAGGCTCTTCCGGAAAAACAACTCTCCTCCATTGCCATGGAAAACATGCTTCAGAATATCTGCTGAGGTCACCACTGCTCTTCTTTTTCTTCACCGAACAAAGCCAGAGCCTCTACTGCATCGAGACCTCAAACCTGCAAACATTCTTTTAAACCGAAACTATGTGAGCAAGATCAGCGACGTTGGTTTAGCCAGGTTGGTCCCACCATCTGTCGCTAATGGTGTCACTCAATATCAAATGACCGCAGCGGCTGGGACATTTTGTTACATCGATCCCGAGTACCAACAAACGGGGTTGTTGGGTGTGAAATCTGATGTATATTCATTGGGTGTTATGTTGTTACAAATTATTACAGCAAGGCCTCCGATTGGTCTGTCCTACCATGTTGGCAAGGCAATTGAGAGACGAACATTTTCGGAGATCCTTGATCCGATGGTGCCAGATTGGCCTTTTGAAGAGGCGTTGTCATTTGCTAAATTGGCTTTACAATGTTGTGAGCTGAGGAGGAGAGACAGACCAGACCTTGGTTCGATCATATTACCTGAACTTCAGCGACTTAGCAATATTAGTAGAAGCTATTTATGTATTTAATTTTTTTTTTTTTTTACGTCTCTCTTTTCATTTCCCTTCACAAATCCAAGATTCAAACACGATTCCTGATCTTGATAGCTGGTTCTTAAAGGATTTGGATCTTTCATACAATATGCTAGGTTTGATTTATGCATAAATGTTGAACGCAAATATTTTTTTCTTCTTTGGATACCCAAAGCCATAATAATTGGATTCTTTCATCCAATCTGAAATCACCATTCCCCTCTTTATACAAATATAACTGCATCATCTATTGGGACATGAAACTCTTAACTAAATTTTGTTGATATGATCCAATCAGAATCTATGGAGGATGAAATCTCCAACTACCCACAAGGCCTTGTTCTGGTCCCCCGTGGAGGTGGTGATAGTAGTAGTGTTGTATGCCCTCATATCAGAGGTAGCCGATTGAGGGCTGCATCGGCTACTGGTGATGAGGAAGTTGATGTGGATCTCCTTCTTCCTGGTACAGCAAGGTATGATCATTAAACCAGAATTCTTTTTAACTTTTGCAAAAGCATCCGAAGAAAGCATGCATGATTGATTCTTGAATGCGAAATCCTGTTTACATTTAGTGTGTAGGTGAATTCAAATGGAAAACTGAAATAATTTTAGTCGCTAATTACCTTTACCGACAATTCTTTGACGACGACTATTGCGACCAAATAATTTAGTTGCTAAAACCCTTCGGCGACTAAAAATTAACTTTTGGTGACTAAAAATTTAGTCACCAAAAGTGAAAATTCTTGTAGTGTATGATTCATTAGTAAAAGTTATGACATTTTGTTAATCTTATTATGATTGTGGAGAAAAAAGTTGTGGTTATGATTCATTTTAGTAAAAGTTATGATTTTACTACCAAAAGTTATGATTTGTCATGGTGAATCATAATAAAAAAATGTTACGATTCAAATGTTATGATAATTGATTAGAAATAACTATATTTGTTATGAGTTGTCATTATATTGTTATGATTTATAATGTCTTTGTTATGACACTTTGGTGAATATTATGATATGTTATGATTCATTGCTAATCATTGTTATGATATTTGAAAAAAGGTTAATGATTCTTTTGTAACTGTTACATGACGGTTAGCAGGTCATTTTTTTTGATGTGGCCGATATGGACCATACAATAAGTCATATATAATGCCCTTTTATAAGGTGCATAATATTATTCAATAGATTTCAATTGCCCAGCATTCTTCCCACCCTAATGATTGTTGAAGATCTAGATACATTAATCCTGGGATTTCTTAGCCATTATTGATCATAAAGAGTAGGAAAAAAAAAAAAAGAAAAAACGAAAAAAAGAAAGAAGGAAGAACTACATACAGTGGGAGAAAGAGAAAAAATTCCAATACATGAGGGTGCACCCCCCACAGTCTTTCATTTGCACCCTATCCTCACATGTGTTAGTTAAATTTTTTCCCTTTCTCCGACTGTACGTAGTTTTCCCAAAAAAAAAAAAAACCCCACAAAAAAGAAAAAAAGAAAAAAAAGAAAGAAGTATATTCCACTTTTCTCATTTCCTTAAATTTCAAAACCACACATCATTCACTGATGTTGGACTTGCACTGCAATAGAAAAACACAAAAAACCATACTTGTGAGTGAACAATGGATACAAAATCAAGTAGCTGGCGAGGGGCAAGTAAAAAGCTTTGCCTAGCCATTTTTAGTTTCTTCTTCGTATTTCAAAACTATCCAAATACCTCGGTAATGTTTGTTCAGGCCACAAGTAATGTAAGCTATCATATTTTAGTATTTTAAGTTCCAGTTCCAGCCTTATTTCCCATAACTGGTTAAAGAATATGCATGTCTTTAGGTGCACATTGTGTATATGGGAGAGAGGCAGTATGAGGATCCAGCAAGTGTCAGGAAATTGCACCACAAAATGCTTTCAACTCTGCTTGGAAGGTGTATATATATAGATATGGTTTCAGATAACCCTCTTGATTACAAATGTTGATACAATTTGTCATCCTTATTCCTTACTGACAATAATAGTGTGATTGAAACTAAAGCTGTCAATTTGTATTGAAGCAAAGAAGCTGCCAGGAGTTCAATTCTTTACAGCTACAAGCATGGATTTTCGGGGTTTGCAGCGAGGCTAACAAAATCCCAAGCAGAAAAGATTGCAGGTACTTTTCAGCTAAGAAAATCTACCTTGCAAGATTTTTTTAATTACTAAGCACAGGGAACTCATATTTTTCAGTTACCTTTATGCTTTGTTTGGATCATGGATTGGGATATGGATTTGGAAAGGGAAAGGGAAGTGGAAAAAAAATTTAGCTTATATTTGATTCACATTTGCTTCACCTTTTCCCTTTTGCTATCCAAATCTCCACCTATCCAAACACTGCCTTAACAGTTTGGGGCTATGAATTTCAGAGTTCCCAGGTGTTGTCCAAGTGTTTCCAAATCGCATCCAAAAGTTCCATACAACTCGAAGCTGGGATTTTCTTGGACTCAATCATTATTCTCGAAAAAAAAATTTAACAACAGAGAGCAATATGGGGGATGGAACAATCATTGGCGTCATAGATTCAGGTGATGATATATGACCTCATAACATTATAATCTGAAGCGTCACCCAAAGTTATTTTTATTTATCTTTTTTTAAAAAAAAGGGTTCTAAACTTGGATAGATGATTCTGCAACTCCGTAGGAATCTGGCCAGAGTCTGAAAGTTTCAATGATGAAGGCATGGGTCCAATTCCACCACATTGGAAAGGAACTTGCCAGCACGGAGAGCACTTCAACCACAGCAATTGCAATAAAAATATTGATCGGAGCTCGCTGGTTCATTGAGGGACTCAGGGACCAAATGAAGATCCCAATAAACACAACTAATAACATTGAATTTCTCTCACCACGGGATAAAATTGGTCATGGCACTCATACTGCCTCCACAGCTGCTGGTGTTTTTGTGGAGAAAGCAAACTATAAAGGACTAGCTTGGGGTGTAGCTAGAGGAGGTGCACCGCGTGCTCACTTAGCAATTTACAAAGCTTGTTGGGCAATTGGTACAGGACGATGCACGGATGCTGATATATTAAAAGCATTTGACAAAGCCATAGAAGATGGAGTGGACATCCTATCTGTGTCAATTGGCATTGAGATTCCATTGTTTTCTTACGTTGATCGGCGTGATTCAATTGCTATTGGTTCTTTCCATGCGACCACAAAGGGCATTACTGTAGTATCTTCAGGAGGAAATGATGGACCCTTCTCACAAACAATTGTCAACACTGCTCCCTGGCTCATCACTGTGGCTGCAACCACCATTGACAGGGACTTCCCAACAGCCATTACATTTGGAAACAACCACACTCTTATGGTATTAGTACTAGTACTACTACTTCATGTGTAATTGCAGAAGGGCATCTTCATGAGCTTTCTTGCAAATGGTTTGTTTTTTAATTTGCAGGGTCTATCTCGTAGTAGGGGTAAACACAAACACAAACACAGATTCACTGGCCTTGTTTACTCTGAACGCATGGCATCAGACTCAACAGATGATTCGGCGTTTGACCTTCTCCTTTTCTTCTTTTTCTACTTCTTCTTCTTGCCACCTTGTACCTATGCTATGTGTATATAATACTGTTTTATTTTCCTATTGATGTTTGTCCAGTAAGGGTTGTCATCTTGGGAGTCTCAACACAACATTAGCAGCTGGAAAATTTGTGCTGTGTTTCTCACTACCAAACCAACAAAATATGGTTTCTGCATCGAGGGCTGTGAAAAATGCAGGAGGGACCGGACTGGTATACGCACAGTTTGATGATAACCTGCTTGACTCGTGTGATGTAATCCCTTGTATTAGAGTAGATTATGAAGCAGCGACACGGAATCTAACCTACATCAGAAAAACACGGTAAGGAAGGAGGAGATAGCTGATAGAGAGGTTTAATTAAGACATGAACAAAAAAGTGCATATCATTATCATATGCTTATAAAACAGATTGAGAAATTAACCACAAGTCCACTTGTATCTCCATGAAGGAATCCTACTGTGAAGCTGAGTTTCCCGAGGACTGTGATAGGGGAAACTATGTCTCCTCGTGTTGCATATTTCTCTTCCAGAGGACCCAGTTCCATGAGCCCAGCTGTACTAAAGGTATGCCTAATATGCTAAATTATATTTTATTTGATTTTTGTTGGCTACTTCAGTTCACTGGGAAGTTTACTGGTTGCCAAACTTGCCATTTGATAAATGGGTAATTCACATTCATTGCTAAAAAGTGGACTCTTGTTATATAAAGAAAGAATCTAACTAATCATATAGATATTTGTTTTTGGCGGGGTAATAAGATATTAAGCTTAAGTATTTTTCTCCCCCATGAAACAGAAATGAGTATTGTTAAACTGAAATTGTTCAGGTAATATTCAAATATGTAACAAATAATTGTCAAAACGCACAAGAATGTAATACAAATAAGGGTCTCACACACACATTTATGAGTAGAAAATAAATATCCAGTGACTACGTTAATATTTTTTGCATTAAAGAATTCAGGCTTTGCGTGGAAATCAACTTAGATTCTATAGGAAAAATGGAAAGGCAGTGGGTGCGAACATAAACATAAGTATGAATGGTTGGTGAAATTAACAGGAATTCTGAAATAAATACTCAGCAGAAGTAACCTTAAAAAATAAATAAATAAATAATTGAAAAAAAAAAAAAAAAAACTGAATGAGCTGTTCTCAATGCTATATGCTATGCTTATAAAGCATAATGCCCCTTCAATAGAAAATATAAATATAAATGTAATTGTTGGAATGTGTAAACATATTTCAAAACATATAAATTTCCTTTATGAAATGTTTGGTTTATGTGAAGATGGACAAATTGAGGGAAAACTATCAACACACCCTTGAGATTTAGCCAAAACATGGATTGCCTGTCGGTAATTTGCCCAAAAATTTACAAAAAGAATTTGGAATATTACCCACTGATTGACTAGTTTAGAGGGCAAACAGAGCATGTTAATTCTCTTCAGTGCTTTTATTGATGTTGATATATAACATGCCAAGTTTGAACTCATTCCAATTTTGGTTCCATCGAAATAGCCGGACGTAGCTGCACCAGGAGTGAGCATTTTAGCTGCATACCCACCAATGGGTACAAAGCATGGAAGTGGCTATGCATTCCTATCAGGAACTTCAATGGCTTGTCCTCATGTCACTGGAATAGTAGCTCTCATCAAATCTGCACACCCAGATTGGTCTCCTGCAGCCATACGATCAGCCCTCGTCACTACTGGTGAGTCGCATTCAGTAAAATTCTTCTCTCTTTTTTTTTTTGTTTCTTCTTCTTCTCCTTCTTCTTGCAGTCCACACTTCACTCTAATAGACAAGCAATCACCAGCATCACAAAAGGGAACAGATGGAATGGACATAACCGAGATGGGACCAACGCTCAAGAAGGCTGATCCATTCGACATTGGTGGTGGGCATGTCAATCCCAACAGAGCAATAAATCCAGGACTTATTTACAATATTAGCAAACAAGACTACATTCAATTTATGTGTGCCATGGGTTACAGCAACATATCCATTAGCAGATTAACCAAAACAAC